GAATTCTTGACAGCAGAAGGTATCAACCCAAAGGAGAATCATCAGCGAATGCAAGCTGTTTATGGTGATTGTGTTGATGTGAGTACTGTGCGTCGTTGGGTGAGAAAGTTTAGAGATGTTGAGGTGGGAACATCTTACTTGCGTGACAAACAAAGAGTTAGGTGTCCTGTGACAGCAACCACCGAGTTTCACAAGCAAAAAGTTGACAGATTGATTCAGGACGATTGTCGTATCACTCAGAGAGAAATTTCAAGCACAATTGGCATTTCACAAAAACATGTGGGTCGCATTATTGCTTTGCGTGGCTATTGGAAGATCTGTGCACGATGGGTACCCAGGATGAGAGAACTGTAAGGCGGAAACAGAGTGTCAACTTCTTCCATGACGGCTTCAGAAAATTTGTTCATCGTTGGCAGAAATGTATCCAATTGTCTGGTGATTATGTGGAAAAGTGAATAGAGGTACTTAAAGAGCACATTCTATTTCTGTGTTTGATTTATTAAAATATTCCCATCCAAACCCAAGTAACGAAGGTGGAGGCGTTACTTTTCATTCAACCCTCGTATTTGTTCTTCTTCCATATTCACTGTGTCTATCAATTTCTTTAATGGACAGGGCATGTCATGATTGATTTTTGAGCTAACTAAATGTTCCTAGAGCTCACACAATGTCTGAGACTTGGTAGCTAGAAGGAAGCAACTTACTATATGTTTCCCATGTTCACAATATGCAGGGGTACTATTTCTGTGATCTTGCATTACATTCTGATGTTGTTTTGTTTTGTTTGCCTTGCACCAAGAGCATGTTAATGTCATGTCGGGATTATCAGCAATGAATTATACATCGACATTCTACTCTCTTGAGGAAAAACTGCATTTTTAATTCTTTGTTTTGTCTATTACATCGAGGCTGGAACATTTTGTACACTATTTTTGGACACGTAGGAACTGGATAATCTGGTTTACCCTTCTCCGGTTCTGTTTCTTAGGAGTTAAGCAATAACATTTTTTTACTTCGCATACACAACCACAGTACAAGGTCTAATCCAGTGTCTTCAACAATGTATTTTAGTTCAAACTCTCCCTGCATTCTCAGGGTAGTTTTGCATAGTTTTAGGAGTGTTTCATTTATATTATACCAACCAACCTCTGTTTATCCTTCCCATTTCTTTAAGTGACATTATTAAAACAAAAATAAGTAAAATTGTCCTCCTCATAGGAAAAGGAAAAGGAAAAGGAAAAGGAAAAGGAAAAGGAAAAGGAAGGAAGGAAGGAAGGAAGGAAGGAAGGAGAGGAAGGAAGGAAGGAAGGAAGGAAGGAAGGAAAGGAAAGGAAAGGAAAGGAAAGGAAAGGAAAGGAAGGAAGGAAAGGAAAGGAAAGGAAAGGAAAGGAAAGGAAAGGAAAGGAAAGGAAAGGAAAGGAAAGACAAGACAGATGGATTGGTGAATCTAATAGTATGTGATGACCATCTTGTTAACATCCTACCAACTACACAATGGACCAACTTCAGTTTCCAAAGAAAGACAGCTCCCCAAGTAGTTGAGTAGTTTGAATGTAACCAATAACAAGTAACTTGTTCCAGATGTAGTGTCTCCATAGTGACCCGCAATAGCTGAACTGGCCAAAACTGATAACAGGCACCACAACAGTCTCACTGATCTGACCTTCGCTTATCCGTCATTCCGTCTTATCCGACACTCTTACCTGACACCCCACTTTTCCTCCAGAATTTTCCCTTGAATTAATGGAGTGCTACCAAATTCTCTCACCATTCCGAATAAGTGAAAAAGGCAAGACAAGGAGGAGGAGGAGGAGGAGGAGGAGGAGGAAGGAAAGGGGTAAAAGAGACAGGACTGGAAGCGGAAGCGTCCTCCCTCCTTCCCTCTGTGATTTCCACTTCCTGCTGTGCCGCTCTAGCTCCGAGATCTTGTCTTGAGTCCCTATTGTCCTGTGCTGCGTCGGACGGGTAACAGTAGGAGACTCTGTATTATCCAACATTTTCATTTATCTAGAGTTCTGTCAGTTTGTTTATGTTGGATATGAGAGACTTTACTATTTATTTATTTATCCTTTCAGGAGCAAACCAAAAAGTTGTATTGCATTTTTTAACAAATAAACAAAGCACAAAGTTTGCAAGCTTGGTAGTTGATTAGATGTCCTTTGACCAGTAGCTGGCCACTTGGAGTGCCTCTGGTGTTACTATAAGAAGGTCCTCCATTGTGCATGTGGCAAGGCTCAGGTTGCATTGCAGCAGATGGGTTGTAGTTTGCTCTTCTCCACACTCGCATGTCGTGGATTCCACTTTGTAGCCCCATTTTGTAAGGTTGGCTCTGCATCTCGTGGTGCCAGAGCACAGTCTGTTCAGCGCCTTCCAAGTCGCCCAGTTTTCTGTGTGCCCAGGGGGGAGCCTCTCATTTGGTATCAGCCATTGATTGAGGTTCCGGGTTTGAGCCTGCCACTTTTGGACTCTCATTTGCTGAGGTGTTCCAGCGAGTGTCTCTGTAGATCTTAGAAAACTATTTTTTATTTTAAGTCATTGATGTGCTGGCTGATACTCAAACAGGGGATGAGCTGGAGATGTCACTTAATGAGAGACTTTACTATATTTAGTCCTTATATCTGAATATCCAGGAGCAATTCCCAGTCCAAATCTTCACCAATGCTCCAAACGTTAAAGTCAGTTTATTTTCATTCTTGTCACATTTCAATACAATCTCACTCCTATCTTCTGCCTTTCCCATTACTGTCATTACTTTCCTCTTTAAAAAAAAATCAGATTAGTTGTTATAGTAGTGGAAATAATGTCTGCTCCTTCTTCCATCCCTTACCTGGTCTGGTGTAGGTAATGGTGATCTTTCCAATGTTGATGGGCTGTAACCTTCATCAGACATTGCCTACAAAGCCAGTATTGAAGAATATTGAGTGCTGCAGTCGAATAGCTGTCTAGCAGCCAATAACAACCTTTCCTGAGTCAGATGTGTATTGCAAACTGAGCTAATGAATCGGGCACAAAAGGTACAGGCACTAGGGATCCCACAGCAAAGTATGGCTTTATACCAGGTATGGGCAATACCAGGCCCAGGGGCCAGATGCAGCCCCTTGGGCTTTTTTCTCAGGCCCTCCTCTCTCACACCATCTTATCCTTTCTTCCTCCTCACTTTCCTTCCTCCTTCCCTCTATCCCTTCCGGTCGTTCCTTCTCTCTTTCCTTCTTCCCTCCCTCCCACCCTTCCTTCCATCCTTCCCTTCCCCTCCCTCCCTCTTTTCTCTTCCTCCTTTCCACTGGGGAATGTTCAGGTGGGAGGCGAGATGGTAGAGAGAGAAAATAAGAACCATGTTTCAAGATTGAAAAGGGCGTCTTATTGAGGAGCGGGGTGGGGTGGGGGGCTTTCTGTTGCTCTATAGACCAGGGCACAAGGGAGCAATGGATTCGAATGGCAGGGAAAGAGATCCAACTGAAAAGATTTGGAAGAACTTCCTGAGAGTAAGAGCTGTTGGACACTGGCATAGGCTGCCTTGGAGTGTGATGGAGTCTCCTTCTCTGGAGGCTTTTCCACATAGGCTGTCTATTGGGAGTGCTTTGATTGTGTCTTCTTGCATGGCAGGGGTTGGACATGCCCCTTGGGGATCTCTTCCAGCTCCAGGATTCCTGGATTCTATATAAGGAGTAGGCAATACAGGGTTTGATGGATACACTTTTTTCTTTCCCATCCACCATCTCATCCTGACCAAGGTTAACCCTTTTGGGATCCAAACATTTCCTGTCTTTCCTTCACTTTCTTCCTCTAGAAGTGGCAGCTTTGAAGATTTAGGAAGTTGATGTATTTTCAGTCCTTTCTGATCCGGGTCTTACTTTTAACGGGATATGCAACACATGTTTTTTTTAAAAATGTGTGTGCCATATTCTGTGATTTATCTTTCTTGTTTTCACCGAGGCTCTAATCTATTGTTGTGGGTGTATCAGATGCAGATCAGCTGTTTAAAATGCAAGTATGGTTCTCTGAAATTAGGTTGCTTAATGATAGCAGGGTTATTTTTAACTATACTTTCAAATTTGTCTGCATTCTGCATTTTATGACAATATCTAAGGCAGTGTTTCTCAACCTGGGGTCAGGATCCCTGGGTGGGGTGGGGGGTTGCAAGGGGGGTTTCAGAGGGGTCACCAAAGACCATCAGAAGACACATATTTCTAATTGTCTTAGGAAGACCCCTTTGGCAGAGAAGGCTGAAGATCTCTCCATCTGTCCGTCTTTTCCTTTTTGGAAACAGTAAATCCTCCCACCAAAAGCCCTCCTCCTTCTGTGATTGTAGGTGAACTATAAATACCAGCAACCACAACTCCCAAATATTAAGGTCTATTTTCCCCAAATTCCACCAGTGTTCACAATTGGGCATATTGAGTATTTGTGCCAAGTTTGGTCCAGATCCATCATAAGTTTGAGTCCACAGTGCTCTCTGGATGTAGGTGAACTACGACTCCAAAACTCAAGGTCAATGCCCACCAAACCCTTCCAGTATTTTCTGTTGGTCATGGGAGTTCAGTGTGCCAAGTTTGGTTCAATTCCATTATTGGTGGAGTTCAGAATGCTCTTTGATTACAGGTTAACTATAAATCCCAGCAACTACAAATCCCAAATGACAAAATCAATCCCCTCAACCCCACCAGTATTCAAATGTTGGCATATTGGGTATTTGTGCTAAATTGGGTCCAGTGAATGAAAATACAACCTGCATATCAGATATTAACATTATAATTCATAACAGTAGCAAAATGACAGTTATGAAGTAGCAACAAAAATAATGTTATGGTTGGGGGTCACCACAACCATAAAATATCAAGGGGTCGTGGCATTAGGAAGGTTGAGAACCACTTATCTATGGGATCAATCTTATAACGACTGAATAATGAGTGGCATAAACCCACATTTTAGGGCAAAAACAAATACTCTGAATACCAGAACCAAAACAGCCACTTGACATGTCACATTAAATGAGGAGATGGTTTGTTTAAAAGCCTTTTTATTTTCCTTCACCGTTATTGTTTTACAATACAAATTTCACCTTGTTGAACACACAAAAAACCCTACAGAAGATAACTCTGCTTCACGTAAAATACAGAATGAATATATATATTTATATATATATAGATATATATATGCTTCTTCATTCTTAAAAAACTATTTTGTTCTGCACATTGGCAAGTATAGGATAGAATACTTTCCCCCAAACACAATATGTATGGCAGGACTGAATTTTTTTTTTAGAGTTACATGCAGTTTCTGCACAGTTTGGTTTTATAGAAATCAATTGTTTTGCAACAATATATATTTTTTTCATCCAGGGATGAGAACCTCTTTATAATTTTATATTTTTAAACTGATTGTTTGAAAGAAAAAAAAATATTATAAAAAGGAATTCATGGCTGTTTTCTTGCTATAGTTCAAATCTATGTATGGAGTAGACAATGACGTAATTTAAGAAGCACATTTCACTCTAACCTGCTCCCCACAATCTGTGAAGCCTTGATTATTGTATTTGGTTTTTCCTTCCAACCCAGTCGTCTGAACATTGCTAGAGATTTCCAGTTTAATTTAGATATAAAATCAAAAATTTAGTAATGTGTACAATACATATAATCTTGGTTTCATGGAATACTTTATTTTAAATAAAAGCTTTGAAAGACTGTCTACTGACCATACTATCAAGACAAGAAAGGCACTAGAAACAGACAAATCTCTCTCCCAAGAAGCATTTTTTAAAATTTTACCTCTTTTCTCTGACATGTAAAAATCTTCTTCGATTTTATTTTTACGCATATCATTTTGAAAAATAAAGTTAGGAAATACTTAGAAAATCACTTTACAACATAATAATTTTTTTGCACCTTTTGACACTGTCACTGCAGATTTACAAAATCAAAGTTTACCAAACCTTTCTGCGTCTATCATTTGTAGCTTCAGTGAAACAGGTAGAAAGATTCCTGTATATTATCTCAGTCAGGTATTTATAAACCTTCATATAGATATTTGCTAGAAAATGGCTTACAGCCCAATCTTTGGGGCAAGAGATATGAAAATTATGTTTTCCCAAGAAAATAATATGCTTTATTCCCAGACGAGACTGGAAAGACCAGAACTTATGATATAAAAGCCTTTTTTTTGTTGCTGTTGTTATTGTCGTTTATGCTGCTGCATCATATACAAAGAAACATGGTGATGAGCAATGCAAATCCAAAACCTATTAACAAGAAATGTATACAGTGCATGATAATTTACCATTTCGTTATTGTTGTCCATCACAGATCCTTTGGAGAGAGAAAAATATCACAGTGCTTACCAGGTAAGAGAAGAGACTTAAGTCAAGGTAATGGTTAAAAATTAGAGGAGAGGGAACAGTTCAATTGTTATGGCATCTTGTCACGTGGAGTTCTTAGCACTTTTGGACAGTTCTCTTGCCATCTCCTTTCTGTAGCTGTTATGTATCGTTCACCAGTCTGCTGTATTTAGGCTGTCTACCCAGGTGCAACACTTGCCAGGAAAATGGCCAGTGATAGGAGCGAGGCACAATGCCCCGGACATTCTTTTCAAAGTACTGGAAGGGCCTGTACCACCAAACCCGTGCAAGAAGGTTCGTCTGGGAAGCCTCTTTTAGCACCTGCAAAACAAAACATGTACATGTCTCAAGAAAAGAGTGGAGGGAACATATCCAGAATTGTCCCCACATCCCCACAAATTTACCTTTTTCATTGCTATCTCTTCCAGGGTTTTATCATTTTGTCATGTGTAATGAATCCCTTACCTTGGCAAGCTACCTTAGGCCTAGGAGAGTGGGCCTGGCAAAGCCACAGTATCCATTTTGGAGAAGGGAGATGCCATCTTAGGTTGAGTTTGCCTTAAGGGGGTGTGTTCTAGTCTTGGAGGGAAAGTTAGGCCACTAGGATTGGTTAGAAAGATGGGGACGGAGCCTAAGTGATCTGAAGGGAAAAAGTGACTTGAGTTTTCAGATGGCCAGTTTGCCAGTTAAGAGTTGGGAGTTGAGAGTTGGAGCTTGGAAAGGGTGTTAGTGAGAGCAGTTTGAGGTTTTGAAGAAGGACTTTGGGTCAGTCTTTTGTTTAGTATTCAGGTTAGCTATAAAGTATAGCTAGAATACTGTGGGGAGCAGCACCCCGTTAGTGGTCTGTTCTTTTCCTTAAGGAAGGCTAGTTCTGGTTTTGGCTAGATTCCTAAGGGGGATTTTTGTGGGAGTTACTTTCAGAGATTCATATCCTAAAGTAATGTTCTGTGTTGTAACTTTTAATTCTTGAAACCCAGAAGTTTTTAAGATCTCTTCTCAAACGTAACCACAAGCTTTGTATGCCAGATTTTTACTGAAACCGTCAAGCGTTTGTACCTGAAATGTCCAAGTCTGTTCAAATAAAGTTCTTGTTATTTTTACCAACTTATACCAACTTCAGTGTGAACACCTTTGTGGTAAAAGTATTATTCAAGTCAGCTTTTTACCAGCCTCTAAGAAAACTAGAGTAACACAGAGTGTGTTACTGAACAACCTCTCAATAGTACCTCAGCCTGTTCTTTAGTAATATGGTGGCAGCGGAAACTTTTAAAGAATCCTTTTAAGTCTCACAGTTAAGAATGGTTCCCAGTTCCTAGCTTTTAAATATACAGTTGGTTTATTAACAACCATACTCCCCCTATATTTTTGATGAGCTAATCTGGAGTAGTGTCATCATTATAATTTGGTAGGCTGCTGTGTGATCTTTATAATTTGGTGGTACAGCGGTGGGATTCGTTATATTGTGCATTTGGCTGTGTTTGATTTTCCATTATGTTGTTTTGCACTGTTTATTTTACTTGAATGGCTTATTTGTTTTATTGTGATGTTATTTTGGTGTTTAGTTTGTATTTCGCTGTAATGTATCGCTGGGCTTGGCCTCATGTAAACCGCTCCCAGTTTCCTTTGGGGAGATAGTGGCAGGGTATAAATAAAGTTTATTATTATTATTATTATTATTATTATTATTATTAAGTATTCATCTTCACTTATCATGGATATCAATGAGGGGAGACCAAAGCTCACAGGGGTAAGAACTCATAAGACTGGCCCTGCCAACATCGAAACTCTAGTTCCACTTAATACACGTAGGCCCCAAGTTACAAACATCTGACCCCTAGTTATAAACAGAGCTGAGACAACAGGAAATGAGAAGAAATCTACCCCTAGGAAGGGAAATTTACTCCCGGAAGAGTTATCCTGGGGAAAAGGTGTCTCCGACGAAGATTTAGTACCAATCCTTGTTTCCACAACAACCCCAAATTTTCAAAATCCAATTGTCACAGGAACAGAAAGTGAGGTGAAATCCTCTGAATAGGGGCACAGACAGGAAAAGAAATGTTAAAAGTTTTCCCTTGATATTAAGTCTAGTCGTGTCTGACTCTGGGGGGTGCTCATCTCAGTTTCTAAGCTAAAGAGCCAGCGTTGTCCATAGACACCTTCAAGGTCATGAAGCCAGCATGATTGCATGTATCGCTGTTACAGGGGTGTTAACTCTTTCCTATACTCTCCAAAACCTTTTAAAAGTTGGCTGGACTTACACTTAAAAATTTACTTTTTTTCCAACTTACATACGAATTCAACTTAAGAACAGGCCTGCGAAACCTATCCTGTTCATAACCCAGAGACTGTGTGTAATTTTTTTCCTCTACTCTGACAATATTTTTGGTTCAGTGTAAGATGCAATTTTGTGCATACCTTTCTGACAAGACACCACAAAGAAGAGTATCTTAGGATCTTATCACATTAAGGTCAGGATGCGTCACGCATTGGGGTGAATCCGTGGGGTCCTGGCGAAGGGGGTAGAGAACCCCTTGCCCCATGCCCTGCATGACCCGACTTACCGCTGGCCCCAACCCAAGGGGGGAAGTGTCCACCCCCTGGCTTCCTCCCATTGTTGCAAAGGCAACACAGGAAGCTTGCCATGTTGCCACAGTGGCGGCGTACGCTGCTTGTTCTCCTCTTTTGCAATGGAGTCCCACTGGGAGTAGATGTACATCTTGTAATGGGCTCCGTTGCAAAAGAAGAGAGCAAGTGACATACGATGGGCAAATTAGCCCATATGATAAGGTCGTAAACGTAACCCTCCACTCGCCATCCACTTAAGCAAACCACTGCTGAACTTTACTATTATGGATTCAGTCACTATGTGACTATTGTATTGTAAGAACACAGCATCTCTCCTATACATTTTTTTTTGCTATTTCTTTTTTTTCCTCCCAAATTTTTTTTATTTGATACATCTCAACAATCAACAAAATTTTGCCATACAGGACTTATGTGGGGAGGGCGAGGGTGTTGGGCAATACATAACTAAGGAATGTATAAAATGTCATTTAAGCAATATTTACTTTTGGAATAATGTATAATGTATATCTCTCCTATACATGAGATTATGATGATTATAATAAGAAGCAGTAGTAGTATTTACATCCCACTTCTCTTTCAATGGAGACTCAAAGCAGTTAACATGCAAAAGCATGTAATATGTACCGTATATACTCGAGTATAAGCCGACCCGAATATAACCGGAGGCACCTAATTTTATCACAAAAAACTGGGAAAATGTATTGACTTGAGTATAAGCTGAGGATGAGAAATGTAGCATCTACTGGAAAATTTCAAAATAAAAATAGATACCAATAAAATTACATGATTTGAGGCATCAGTAGATTAAATATTTACATAAAACTGTAATTTAAGATAAGACTGCCCAATTCTGATTAAACCATTATTCTAACCTTCTTCAATGTAAATGTGCTTATGTATCCTTCCAATAATAATAAAGAGAGTAAAATAATAAATGTAATAATAATATAATAATAATAATAATAATAATAATGGAAATGTAAAAATACCAGTAATAATATCATAAAATAATAAATGTTATAACAATAATAAATAGAGTAAAATTATAAATGTAATAATAATAATAATAATAATAGAATAAAATTATAAATGTAATAATAGAGTAAAATATAAATGTAATAAAAATAATAACACAGGAAAATAATAAATAACCTTGACTCGAGTATAAGCCGAGGGGGACTTTTTCAGCCTAAAAAAAGGGCTGAAAAACTAGGCTTATACTCAAGTATATACAGTAAATTAAAAGCCGGAGAACACAAACATTAAAATAGAATTAAACACAGGACACATTAAAATACATAGTTAAAACCAGTTAAAAACCTGTTAAACAAGTCTGCCTGAAAAGAAAGGTTTTAGCTTGCCATTAACTAAGTTTTTTTTTTTAAGGGAAGGGGAAAGAGACTCACTTGCTGATTGGCCATCGTGTGATACCACCAGAAAAGTCTTGTAGTGATGTAATAAGCCACCACCACATCCACAGTGTAGTGGTCATGGGCCAAGAGGATAAAAAACATCCCAATGATGCTGAGAGCCCAGCAAATCCAATGATACCACCAGAATCGCCGAGGTGAATCTGAAGGTAAGGAAGAACACAGGGCCCCATGCATTAATTTCATACACACAAATGCATTCTCCTCTACAAGATGAAGGTATCTTAGCATACCACAAATAGAAACACTTCATACAGGATAATCCCCAAACGCAATACCGCAATATGGAATGAAGTGCTGAAATCAATCTCATTCATTTCAATAGCTTTAAAACATACCTGTTTTTCACAGACCTGCTAATAGTTTGCAATCTGTGAATGGGCCATTCAAATGAGATCTTCACTTGAATATAGGCTTCTTGTTTGCAAGGCTCATTAAAAAGTTTAAGATAAAGCAACAATCAAACACAAGCTTCTGTTAGGGCCCAACAACATTTCAAATATACAGTAAGACATCTGATTACTTTTAATCAGAAATGAGGTCAAAAAAGCAGAACTTTGAAACAAAGAAAGGTCAGGAGGGACGAAATATTTAACATTTTGCCTACCTTTTCTCTATATAGTCTTCATCTTAAAATCACACCCATCCTATCCCAATTCTATATGGATGCAGTTCGATCTTTAAGTCCTCATATCGTGTCAGCTTTTCCTGTTGTTTCTCTTCAATCCTGCTGTCACCTGGGATTGCAACATCGACAATCCATACTTTCTTTTTTAGCATGATTGTGAGGCCAGGAGTCTTGTGCTCCAGAACTCTGTCTGTCTGAATTCGGAAGTCCCAGAGGAGTTTGACGTGCTCATTTTCTGTAACTTTTTCAGGCTTGTGATCCCACCAGTTAGTTGTTGCAGGCAGATGGCAGTTGTGTCACAAGTTCCAATTAATCATCTGAGCAACGGTGTTATGCCTCTGCTTGTAGTCTGTCTGCACAATCTTCTTGCAGCAGCTAAGGATGTGATCTATTGTTTCATCTGCTTCCTTGCAGAGTCTACATTTGGGATCTGTCGTCGACTTTTCAATTCTGGATTTGATGGTTCTAATGGCTTGTTCTTGGGCTGCCAGAATCAGGCCTTCATTCTCCTTTTTCAAAGTTCCATTTGTGAGACACATCCATGTTTTTTCTTTGTCAATTTGGCTCCCATTTTTCCCCAGGAACTGTCCATGGAGAGTCTTCTTTCGCCAGTTTTCTCTTCTGCTCTGGATTGTGTTTTTACGGCATTCACTCTTTGTCTTTTGAACTTTAAGCAATTTACTACTATTGACTTCCCTCCATGTTGGTTCGTGACTGCCTTTTACATAATCTGCCAGTGCATGTTGTTGTTGTTGTTGTTGTTGTTGTTTCTTCTTCTTTTTCCTCCTCCTCCTCCTCCTCCTCCTCTTCTTCTCTACTGTACAGTTAATTCCCATTATAGGTTGGTAACACAAGATCAGCATTCCTTGCTTTAACTGTTTGACATTTTATATTGTAAGATGTACTTTCAAATAGAAATATAATAAATCCACAAAAAACCCTACTAGTGAGTAGTGAACATATTACAGTGAGCTCTTATAATACATAGCTTAGTCTAGTAGCAAGAACACTCGAACTTACACTCTTTGATAAATAGGTATGTGAGTGTCAACATCACTGTGTGGCCGCTGTACAGGTAGTCACCACACATATCATGTGCTCCTGTGATAGTGAGCCCGCCTCCTGCCAACAGCTTCATTATCCTCCTCATGTGCGATTCCCAGTCTCCAAAGAGCTGAAAGAAAGAGCGGGAAAGGGGAATCCACCAGTTATTTCAGTTTAAGAGGTGAATCTTTAATAAGCTAAGAAAGGAAAAGGAAAGCTAAATCCAAGTTTGGATGCAAAATATGGCAGTGGAAAGGAAATTTCTACTAACACTTCTGCACGACACAATTATAATACAATGACTGCATTTTCACTGCCATGGCTACATCCCAGGGAATGTTAGGATTTGTACTTTAGTGAGACAAGAGAGCTCTTTGAGGACTCTAAAAGCCCTTGTCTAAAATGCAAACCCCAGGATGCCATAGGATGGAGCCATGATAGTTATATTGGTATCTGTGCACAATAATTGCATTGTGTGTAAGAGAAACTAAGAATTAAGAATCCATACTATATAATGCACCTTGTCAGTTAATACAGCATTTTTTGTAAACCTGCCCCCCTCTCAAACGATGCTAAGTATACCTCTTCCATGTGTTTAAGTATGAGAGATTATTGGGTTAAATATTATTTTACTCATTCATTTTCTCCAGGAAATTAAAAGTATAGAAAGAAAAGCAAATAACTTTCTTTGGTAAAATAATTTTTCTTTCTATTTACAGGAAGATGATCACATCTGAATAGATGTGAAAAGCCTTGGAAAAATCAGAAAAATGGGGGGGGGGGGGGACAGTTTTTTATTGGTATCTATTTTTATTTTGAAATACACCAGTAGCTGCTGCATTTCCCACCATTGGCTTATACTCAAATCAATATGTTTTGCCAGTTTTTGTGATAAAATTAGGTGTTTCAGCTTGTATTTGGGTTTGCTTATGTTCAAGTATATATGGTATTTGCATTTTTAAGCTTACGGTATTTCTTGTTGCTTTTGGTGCTTTGGATATGCCTTTGCAAGTTCAGAGCAACAGTGTCATTTTAATACAAACTTTTCATACTTAAGCAATGAAATCTGCTTACATATGTACAAGACAGTTACAAAAATACAATGCAGCTTTCCTGGAATGGTTTTCTTTGGATGAGAGCACTTTACTGCAAGTCTCCAATTATTAACTGAGATTTCCAAAGCGCTGACATGACCACATTCTTGGCACTGCAAGATCCCCAAGTCCATAAATGAGGGATCAATCTACTAAACATTAATAAATCTGACCTAAGAATCATGAGACTGGAATTCATAATGCATTTGAGATTTGTTTTGGCATCTGCTACTGCTGGCACATTAGTTTTTTTAAAAAAAATCTCTATAAGCACAAAAAGCAACATAATTGAGAGAAGCAGTAAGTCATTCACCTCTATGCCTGTGAAGATATCTTATGCGAGATATAGGCGACACAAGGCAATCAGATACAACAAAAGTAAACTGTTTGCGGTTAAAGTTGCCATTTAAATAAAGCTTGCTTCCCTGATTTCTGCATGTGCTCATAATGCTCAACAATGTTCACAATGTGAAAGAAATTTGTTCAAGTGTAACTGATGTAAAGTATTGTCATTGTCTCAGTGATGACACAGACATAACTGAAAATAGTTTACAAGCTCTGGCAGCCTACTGTAGCAAAATGGTGTAGGATGCTTCCTAAAGGAACACCTGTTGTGTCTTCTATAATTGTGTTGGCTTAAGAAAAATAGCAACACTAATCGAGGTGAAATTATATCACATTTCTTTTCTTGCTCATTGTCCCTAGCCCTGACATTCAGTACAGACTTTCCCTGTACTGAAATCCTTCAATACAACCTTATCATTTTAGACATAATGTGGCTTGTGACCCTTAACGCCATCACAATTTTTCTCCTGAATGCTTTTTAACATCTTTGCAAGTGAAAGTTCAAAACCTTGCATAATAAATTTTATGCTTCGGAGTTTACCCAATCAAAGCATTATTGCTTTGGGATTATGTCATTCCTTGTCCTTCCCCTACAAAAATATCATTTTCAATTAATTTATTTTAAAGTGGTGGGGAGTATGGACTTCTGAAGTTTTGCAGAGAAGGTATGGGTGGCCTTCAGACTTTGAGAAGTCAACCACTTCTGATTTAAATAGATAGCTAGTGAAAATGTCATGGTGTGTGTGGGGGTCACATTCTCCCAAACGCAAGCCCCATCTTCTTTACTGTCACTGTGCCTATGCACAATTTTGCAGATTCTGGTTGACAACAACAACAACAACAACAACAACAACAACAGCACTTTATTTATATACTTAATTCCTTCCGACAATACCATTTAGTTTTCCTTGCGTATTGTGTCTTTTAGATTGAAATTCTGAGGGCAAGAAATTGTTAAATGAATGGTTTCTAAGCCTGGGAATCTTAGGGTTGAAGAACGAGGCATACATATAATCCACAGTAAAAGTAAAGGTTTCCCCTTGACATTAAATTTAGCCGTGTCTGACTCTGAGGGGTGGTGCTCATCTCCATTTCTAAGCTGAAGAACCAGCGTTGTCCATAGATGTCTCCTAGGTCATTTGGCCGGCATGACTGCATGGAGTGCTGTTACCTTCCTGCCAATGCAGTACTTATCGAACTACTCACATGTGCATGTTTTCGAACTGCTAGGTTGGCAGAAGTTGGGGCTAGCAACGGGAGCTCACCCTGTCCCACGGATTCGAACTGCCGACCTTCTGGTCAGTAAGTTCTGCAGCTTAGTGGTTTAACCCACTGTACCGCTGCGGCCCATAAAACAATCCATATATGCATGTATTTCTCTTTCTTGCTTTTTTACAATTATTCACATCTCTGCCTTTCAGGGCACAACTCCTTCTAAATACTCACAGAGAGAGACTACAATAAACAATAACAAAGTAAAACATGACTATGTCTCACAGGTAGGGTGGAGGGAGAAAGCTGTATTTTTTACTCCATATTTTACAACAAGCCTAGACGGGCATGGGCAAAGTATAGCCCTGAATTACATATCTCCTTCCTGTTTTTTATGGCCCTTGGCTCCCCCCTGAATTAGTATTTATCTGGCCTATGAAAGCAGTGGTCTCTCTTTTCCGATCTCTCCTAAAAACTATAAAGAGTAGCTAGCATTTCACCTTTTAAAATTTAAATTATGGTGGAGCAATGGGTTAAACCCTTGTGCTGCTGAACTGCTGTCCTGAAGGTTGGCAGTTCAAATCCGCGGGACAGGGTGAGCGCCTGCTGTTAGCCCTAGCTCCTGCCAACCTAGCAGTTTGAAAGTTTGAAAGAATGCTTTGGCAAAAACGACGTTCCAAGCAGTCATGCTGGTCACACAATCAGGAGGTGTCCATGGACAAGGCAGGCCCTTTGGCTTGGAAATGGAGAAGAGCATCTTCCCCAGAGCCAGAGATGAGTACCACCTTCACAGCCAGAAATGAAAGAACTTTGCCTTTCTCTCTCTGTGTGTCTCATTGTTTTTCATTGTAACATGGCATTGAATGTTTGCCTGCGTCTGTTTATATGCTGTAATTCACCCTGAGTTCTTTCAGGGAGAAGGGCAGAATATAAATAATTATATTATTTTCTTTTACATATTTTAACAACAAGAATACTCGTAATAATTTCATTTGAAAATCAAATCACTAATTTTTTAAAAAATATATATGGCTTTCAAATATGTCCAGTTTTGTTTGGTTTTTCTTTCCCTCCACTTTTTGGGAGTTTTGGTAATCTATGCAGGAGCTCCCAGGCACACACAAAGCAAAATAACCTCCAGATCTGCCAATGTTGAAAATATCTGTTGTACATCAACAGAGGGAATACAACCCTGAACAGTAAGTAGATTTCTATATAAAATAGCAAGAACCGAATTAGAATTATCCAGTAGACATTGATTGTGCAATTCGCATTTGGTTTCAATCTATATAAATAAAAATGTAATGTTCATTTGTGGGATTTACATAACTCAAAAACCACTGGACGAATAACCGCCAAATTTGGCCACAAGACACCTTCACTCAACCCCCCTCCAAAAAAACCAATGACAAGTCCTTTAAAATTTAAAAAAGGAAGTGCAGAGACTGCTTTGATTGTGTTTTTTCCCTCATAGCAGAAGGGGTTGGACTGGATGGCCCTTGGAGATTTGTTCCTACATTAGGATCCTATTATTATTATTATTGTTATTAGTGTTACTCAGAGGCGGAATGGCCATCTGTCAGGAGTGCTTTGAATGTGCTTTTCCCTTATAGCAGAAGGGGCTGGACTGGATGGCCCTTGGAGGTTTGTTCCTACATTAGGATCCTATTATTATTATTATTATTATTATTATTATTATTATTATTGTTACTCAGAGGTGGAATGGCAATCTGTCAGGAGTGTTTTGAATGTGCTTTTCCCTTATAGCAGAAGGGGCTAGACTGGATGGCCCATGGAGGTCTCTTCCTACCCTAGGTTTCCATTATTATTATTATTATTATTATTATTATTATTATTATTATTATTATTATCCAGACTTGCTCATTACTTAATTTTCCATACCACAAGACTACGCTACAGCAACGCATGGCGAGGTACAGCTAGTAATTTTAATAAAACTGTTTGTAAGACTATGGATGGTTTTCTATTCACATCCTAAACACTGAAATGCTCTGGTTCCACCTTTCACAGCAACTATGGTGAGCTGAGTCAATGCTATTCGTCTGTTGGGAAAACTGGAAGAGATATGGATCAGATTCCAAAATGGCAAATCACATGATTGTCTTCAAATCAAAATCCAAGAAACACCCTCCTTCGGGACAATAGAAATACTGAACCAAAATTCTCTCTCGCAGAACCTGTCCATGAGCTAACATTAGGAGCAACAAGCAATACTAATTACCATTAAAGAAACTCTTGCCAATTCTCCTTGGCAAACAACACATAACATTAGTCTGACTAAACTGTTTCAAGCACAAGGGAAGGAAAAGAAGTTAGATAATGACAGCAAGGAAAATTACCTTTGGAGAACAGTTGAAATGCATGCCAGGTACTGGGAGTGTAGTTACATACATTGTAATACACCGATATAAGTACAGTGTGCCAACTATACAAAAAAATCTCCTGCCAATAATAGACCTGTGGGAAAGGAAATAAAATAATGTGTTATTTGAAGAACTTTGGTGTAAGATAAACATTGTTCTAGGTGGTATCTGTGCATTTTTGTACAAAACATTATCCTGTTAAGTTTAGGCAATAAGACATTTAAAACAGATGAGATGCATTACTTCATGGTGACAGCAGCAGCTCAGGAGAATCAAAATGACAAGATAAATCAGCAGTCCTTGGAAGGAAATGGAAAGGTTCTTGGTATTAGCTGTTAACATTAAAATCATGTTCTGTCTTTTCTCTTAGCACAGTCAATAATGTGGTTAAGAACAGAGCTTTGCAAAGGGGATCAAATGAAGATGGGACATTTGGCTTGCAGGAGAGATGGATGTAATGGGCACCTGCCTCTCCCTATAGAACAGGCATGGAAAACTTTCTAACTTGGGAGCCGCATGGCGGGCCGGAGCGGGGTGGGCAGGCCAGGAGGGAGAGGGTTCACCCCAAGCCCCCTCACTGCCTTTTCCTTCCCTTGCTCTTCTCTTTCTGAGACAGAAAGTGAAGGAAAGATGGGAAACATTTCAATTCCAAAAGGTCGGTCTTGGTCAGGATTAGATGGTGGATGGGAGAGAAAAAGCATTCCCAATAGATGGCCTCTATGGAAAAGTCCCCCCAGGCAGCCTATTCTACTTTCCAGGAAGTTCTTCTTAATCTTTTCTGTCAAATCTCTTTCCCTGCCATTTGAAACCATTGCTCCCTTGTGCCCTGGTCTCTAGAGTCACTCCCCCGCCCCCCACCTCCTCAATGGGACACCCTTTAAAATCTTGAAACATGGTTCTCATGTTCCTCTCTACCTTCTCCCAGCTAAACATCTCCCAGGAGGAATGGAGGCTAGAAAAAGGAAAGGAAAGGGGAAAGGGAAAGGGAGGAATGAAGAGTGGAAGGGAATGGAGGGAGGAAAGGGCGGGAGGGAAGGAGGGAGAGAAGGAGGAAGGAGAGAAGGAGGAAAGAGAGAATGAAGGAAAGACAAAAGGGAAGGGAGAAAAGAGAAAGGGAGAGAGGGAAGAAGAGAGGAAAGAGAGAAGGAAGGAAGGACGAAAGGGTGGAAGGGAAGAAAGGAGGAAGGAAAAAGAGAAGGAAGGGTAGGATGGTGAGAGAGAGGAGGGTCTGAGAAAAGAAACCAAGGGGCCACATCTGGCCCCCGGGCCTGCGTTTCCCTATACCTGATATAGAAGCTCTTACCTCCGAAGACCAGAACCAACTCCAGCCTTGACTTTAATAGGGTTCTGACTTTACTTTCTCCCCATCTAAATGAATGCATTTGAAGTTGTGTGTCCTTCAGAGGATGATGAAAGCAACAACCTGCTATGCAAAGCCTTTTGTTTCCCCAGTGAAAGTCAGTGAGAACTATGTATTGTCGAAGGCTTTCATGGCTGGAATCACTGGGTTGTTGTAGGTTTTTTCGGGCCATATGACCATGTTCTAGAGGCATTCTCTCCTGACGTTTCGCCTGCATCTATGGCAAGCATCCTCAGAGGTTGTGAGGCCCATATAGCCCGAAAAAACCTACAAGAACTCAGTGAGAACTATTTCCTAACTGAATGACTACTATGCACTGGAAGCTTCAGACACCAACTCCATGAGGAACACTCAACTACCACTGAAGTTCTTTGGATCATTATTTGAAATATAAATGATTTCTTTTCTCCTATCAAGTAATCTTACATTTTTAAACCAAATGTCAAGTCTGAGATGGCAGTAGGTTAAAAAAAAGATGTTATATTGCTATGATTTATTTCACAATATTGTATACAAGATAGAAAAAGCAACAACAATGAAGCAAATGTTCTCAGGCATACTATCAAAATTTCATTTTGTTTAGTATCAGCAACACTACTTCCAAGAGTAGCAAGAACACCGGAAATCAATGATGCAGTTTTGCAGAGCAATGATTCTCAACACTTTATGGGTTTCGCTGGTTTTCACTAGATCGTTGTTTTCCAAATTCTGGTTTTCCATGTATTTTGGACTTCAGCTCCCAGAATCCTTGATCACTGGGTAAAGCAGCTGAGGCTTCCGGGAGTGAAATCATTCTTCTCTATGAGACTTAATGATATCAGCACCCATCGTTAATAAGAAACTATTGGTGATTTGTGTGCTATTGCCTGATAGCTGGTATATGGAAGCTGACTTAAAATACTGTCTATTTCAACTTTGTGAAGTGCCCTACTTCTTATACTGCAAAGATACCTCATTAATATGAAATATTAAAACTTGATTCCTGTTTGGAAATGTTGTCTATAGATATTTACTACTCAGGGTAAAAATATGAAAATGCTATATTTTATGTAGTAATAGCAGTAATTTTATTGATTAGCCCTTAGCCCATATCACAATATCAAACAAAACAACAAGGCTTGATAAGACTTGATTGCACTCTATGTAGTAAGTTAAAATAAGACACTTATAACAATACAGTAATAAATATGATAAGATATGATAAAACTGCGTATGTACATCATATATCCTTATTACCCCTACTGTTTACCCGGATCAGCCCCACATATGTGGTTCTTAGATGTATTGTTTTGCTTAAATACAGAGCTGTTTTATATGTTATTTTTGGGTCTTGGCCACATATAAAATATGGTTGGGAATATATCGCCCTCCAGATGTTGGATTGAAGTTCCAAATATCTTTCAGCCCTAGTTACTACAGTTGGGAGTTACAGTCTAAAAGCCATCAGAAGGACCACATGTTCCACTGCTTTATGTTTTGTAGCATTTAAAAGGGGATCAGTTACCTGGCTCTCTTTTATCCTGTACACAGCCACATGGTGAAGAAGCTAAGCATGTCCAAGCATGATCATTACCAAGATAGATGGATACGCACATTGAAAATCAGTTCATAGTAAGGATTAGAGGGGGGAAGTGATATCAAGAAACAAATGTACTTACTTGTATTTTAAGAACAGCCACTGAATTAACCAGAGTCCTACAAGGATCAATCCATTAATTTCACAAATAGAAAAGGCCCATTGCACCCGACTAAAGTGATCAAAAAAAGCATCTGGTAGGGGCGGATCCACCTCCTTGGGAGGCACTCGTTCATGGACAACGGAAATAGTCACTGTTGTCAAGACGAAACAGCAAAGTGCATAAAGGAAAGACAGAAGGGTCTTCCCCCACTCCATGGGATACTGAGAACGTTCTGGCTCTGGCATGGGGATTTTTATCATTTCCTTCCTATAACCATTTGGCATTCCGTTGGGCTTGGTTTTGTTGCTGAAGCCATTTTCCCTGGCAGGGGCCTCAGTACTGATGACCAAGTGGCCGTTGGCATGGCCATTTTTGTGTGCCTCGATGTGGTGCTCCATTTTTAAAGTCTCTATCATGTAGAGAAGTCGCTGGCCGTTGTCCGAAGACAGACGTGACAAAGGGGGCTTCTCAAAATCCTCCTTCGTCAGGTTGATCAAGTCTTGCCCAGTGAAACTTTCCAATGGTTCACAGTATTCTGGCACAGCATTCTCCATCAGCCAATCTGCCACCTCCTTGGGTGACCAGAACACGACTTCTTTCATTTCGTTAGAACGCTTGCATGTAAGTTTTAACAACTGCTTTAAATAGGGCAGTCGGCACTAGTTTTGCAGAACAGGAAGCCCCTCATTGTCTCGCTCATCCTGTCTGAAAAGCAGAGCAGAAACCAGTTTTGCAGGTTGACGCAGAGCTCCTCCAAATAGTCTGGTGCAAATATTAACACGTGGGACACAAAGAAAACGTTCACTTCATTTTGCATCTGCAGTTGCTTTTCTTAAAAAAGAGGAGGGGAAAGAAAGAGAGAAAGATCCAGTTAGGATATCAGTAACTTTGAAAATTGCTATTAATGTCAGATCACTTTCTACAAGAGCATTGTTGAGCAATATTTACTGCAATGCAATCAGATCTGTTACAGAAATTCATCAATGCAAATAGATATCTGAACTATCTGTAGTACTTTGAAACAGGACTAATCTATGTCATTTGCTTACTCTGATGAAAGGCAAGCTGATTCCTGATACTTTCTGATTCTACATACACAGTTTTCTTTCAGGAGAACGAATTCACATTACAAGTTTATATTACACAGTACATGGACGTTCACAATGCAACTTGTTCTACATGAGTCAGCACTTGTGAAAGTGCCACACATCACCAACTCAATCCTCTTAAGCTTGTAGGTTCAACTTAGCCTTAGCTTTTTAAATAAAAACAAAAACAAAAAACAGCAGAGGTGATGCATAACATAAAAAGGCAAGATCAGGAGTGAAACCGATTGGGAAAGTAGAAATACAAACTTTTATTCAAGGAAATCCAGGACACATAGCGGCACAATTGGTTTGCCAGCATATAACAACAGACATGTGTCGGTTGCTATTTGCAACTGACTATTTTCTTTGTTCCTTCCTTTTGGACTTCAGCATTCTCATATTTCTGCTTCTAAGCCCACAGAAAAGAGGCTGTATCTATGCATCTGAATTTGTTGTCCCTTGAGAACCTTTCACTACTGCAACTACAAGGAAATCAAGGGGATCACCTGAATATGCTAAATGTGAGCAGACTAAATTATCGTAACTGCCATTGTCAAACTGGTGTAATAGTCACACAAATGTTAGTCTTACATTGTTAGTAACATTTCAATGAGAGTAACATCCACCTGGGAGGGGCATACAGTGTTCCCTCACTTATCATGTGGGTTCCGTTCCAGGACCACCTACGACAAGTGAAAATCCGCGAAGTAGGGGCGCCATATTAATTTTAATATTTCTACATCATTTTTTTATATTTTATATATTATTTTCTTACCCGTGCTTCCTTAACTACCTCCCGGCTCATCCCAAGGGCGCCTGCCTGCCTCCCTGGCCTCTGCAGAGCCTCTGGAGCGATGCAGGCAGCAGCAGACCTTCCTCACTGCATCTCAGGCTGCCACACTTCCGGGATCTGTGGAGGCCAGGTAGGCAGGCCTTCCCTGCTATGCCTCAGGCCGCTGCACTTTCGGGGTCCCTGGCCTCCCTGGCCTCCACTGGACGCAAATATTTAATATTTAATCTTTTTTATTAATATCTTCAAAAACCTATGAAACAGCAAGTCCGCTAAAAGTGAACCGCAAAGTAGTGTGGGAACACTGTAGAGTAATACAGGTCTGCCATGATGGTCACATTTACAGTTATATGATTGTGTGTATGTGTGTGTGTTCCATGCAAAAATACTAAGTAAGAAGCTAAGAAAACGAGCAACTTTTACAAAGCATTCAATTTTACTTAACATCTTTGATCAGTTTGCCATAGCAACAAAGTTTCAAATATAATGCATTTCTGTTACTCATTATTTACAATCTGCTAAACTAGAGCTTCTTTAAACTGTTGTCGAAGCCTTTCATGGTCGGAATCACTGGGTTGCTCACTAGGCAAGTGAGGTTTATATATCTGTGGAATAGGGGACGTTCCACAAATACCTCACTTTCCTAGTTTCCAGCAGACTCCTCAACCTATAAGGATGCCTGCAATAGATGTGAGTAAAACATCAGGAGATAATCCTTCTGGAACATAGCCATACAGCTCGGAAAACTCACAGCAACCCACTTCTTTAAGCTATGTGAGAAGAGATTTCCTCCCCACTATTGTTCCAAGAACAGGCAGCATATCTGTTCTCACTGGCTAAAGTGTGTCTTCCTTTCCTTGAAGCTTGCTATGGATGGCTGCCAATGACTTGGAGACCAGAACTGTTTTAAACAATAAACTTTTGAAAGGAAAGACAAATTAAGTCACATTGAATCCCACTCAAGGAGAAAGAAAATAAGTAGGGAAATGAATAAATAAATAACATTATGTAACACAGTTTTTGTTCCTGGTTTATAAATGTCATTTCCTTATTAGTTCTATTATGAAAACATGGAAAAAGTTCATTAAACTACCAAAAACTTTGTTCTGCAGGATATCCTACAGCACATTTTGCTATAAATTTTTCAAGGGATATCTGATACAGTTTCAACCAATTCAACACTGGTTTTGCTCACATCTATTGCAGATAGCCCCAAAGGTTGAGGAGTCTGTTGGAAACTAGGCAAGTGAGGTATTTCATATACCACAGTATGTGCAGATGGGCTCAAGGTATACAAGGAGATAAAGCTGTTATGTTATTTTATCAATGTCTAAAAAAATATGAGGGGGAAAGATGATCACAGAAGAAATAGTGCCTGACAGCACCAGAAATGAGAGAACTCACAGAAACAGTCTTGGTCTGCAATTCTTAAGCAAGTTTTACCAAGGTCAGAAGAACACACTTTAAAGTAAACACACTGAGTATTAAGATTCAAGTCGCATTCTTTCTCTGCAGAAGAGAAGTGGGAAAAAGTACAGGCAGTTCGTGAGTTATGAACATCCAACTTACAAACGACTCATAGTTAAGAATGGTCAGGAGTGAGACAACAGGAAGTGAAAGAAATCTACACCTAGGAATGGAAATTCACTCCTGAAAGAGTTATGAAAAAAAGGTGTCTCCATCAAAGCTGGATCAATTCAGTTGAAATATCAAGTACATAAGGATTAGAGAAACACAAAGGAAAATACTGACTAAATGGTACGGAACCCCAATTAAATTATCGTACATAACTAAATCAACCACAACATTGTGTTGGTACAGATGTGGAAAAATTGGCTCCTATATACATACGTGGTGGAAATGCGACAGAGTACAAAAAATTTATAATAAGGTAAAGAAGGAAATGGAAGAATTAATAGGACATAAATTAGTTTTAAATAAAAAAGAATTCTTCATCCACAAATTAGACAAGAGCAAAAACATTAAGGATTGGGAAGAAATTATAAAATACATGATAGTTGCCACCCAAGCAACTGCCTTGGGTTGGAAAGACCATGGAAAGTGGGGAGCTAAAAATGGTATGGATACCTAGCAGACTTTATGCTCCAGGACTACATCTTTGAAATAAGAGCCAAACATACATCAGGCCGAATCAAGAAGAATTGGGTTCCGAAATGAGGAAGATTGAAGTCAAAGGAAAAGGAAAATTGAAAGAACTGAACCATTCTCTTTCTACAATTGTTCAATTAAAATAATATTTGAATGAAGGAAAGTACTGTTCCCAGAGGGAGGGGGAGGGGGGTGTAAAATCGATAGATACAAGTGGGAGATAAAGGTGGAATAGGCAAGGTTAAGAACACTAAGAAAATAATATTTGATATGTATTTTGAAATGGTGATGGATTGTGATAATATTCTACTTGTATCTGCAATAAAAAATGTACTGGAAAAAAAGAACCTATTTTGTTCATAACTTGTGGACTGTCTGTATAGGATAAAAGTATGTTTCGAAATGTACTACTGGTAGGAGACAAAACTTGGAAACATGGAATCAATGTATGCTAAATGTTCTGGCTCTGGCATAAAGAGCTTCCAGGAATCAGCTGGAGGTTCAGCATCACTTTATCTCCTTTATGTTAGTTCTAATGTGTAGGTAAATACAGAGAACTCTATGTTAACGGTGGGACTTCTAAGTAACTCCTTTACATAGAGAAAAGCAACTCCAAAAACTTATATGGGACATCCTTTAACAGAAAGAGGATCTACTGCTGGAGGTAAGGAGTTCACAGGGACAGTTCAACAAATCCTTTAGACCATGGGTCCTCAAACTAAGGACTTTGAAATGATTTGAAAGCACATAACAACAACAATCCTATCTCATCGGCTAAAAGCAGGCCCACATTTCCCATTGAAATACTAATAAATTTATATTTGTTAACGTTGTTCCTCATTTTAATTATTGCATTGTTTTTAAGTGTGTTTTACATTACAAATAAGATACGTGCAGCGTGCATAGGAATTCATTCATGTTTTTTTTCCAAATTATAATCCGGTCCTCCGACGGTTTGAGGGACTGTGACCTGGCCCTCTGTTTAAAAGGTTTGTGGACCCCTGCTTTAGACTATAATAGATTTAATTTCATTTCAATGGGGTTCGCCTTTCATTAATAACTTTTCCTCTACTCTATGCAAGAACAAATTAAATTTTATTACTTTGATATAATTTGGGGTATTTTCTGACCCCAATATGGTGGTCATACTTTCTGACTGCATGGCAAATTTAGAATCTCCCCATGTTGAATGCAATGTTTGTGTTCACTGTATCAACTATGTTGTACTCAAAATAAAATAAAAAGTAGAATGAAAATGAACTAAAATCAGATACAAAGCAAAGGGCAGGAAATACCCCACACGATAGGGTGTCTATATTTTATTGGAGTGCTCCAAGTCTGAAAGATATTTTCATTCCCCCAAAATGAGATCAATTTACAAACAGAGAATGCCATTTCTAATTTACCAGATTTGATGTTCGCTGAAAAACAGCATGGGATATTTTCATTGTCTCAGTACATAACACTGGTGAGGACAAGCAGAACAATAACAAAAACACCAATGACAACAGTCAACAGATTTGTTGAGAATTTTTTTATCCCAATTGTTTATGGGTGGAAAGAATGCCTGGCAAGTGGCTGAAATCTAGGAATAATTTTGCAGGTGAAAAGGCTGTACAAAGGCCTAAGCTGAAATTCTATAATCTGTGTTACATTGTGCAACAGGAAACTGCATCTGTAGAGAGATTAAAGGTCCAGTGTAGAGCATGAAAGTTAAAACCACATGATAGAAGGAAAACACAACAATGTTTATGTATTACTTTGCCAAAAATGTATTGGCAAAAGATTATCTAAAATACTGACATTAGCAACAAGGTAAGTATACAAAGGAATAGCCAAAGGTG